GAAAGCCCCCAGGGCGATGTCGTTCCGTTGGCAGAAGGAGCAATATACCATGATCAACGTGGTGAAATAAATAATGACTGCAGAGCCTAATTCATGTATAAGACAGCTGTTTAATGTCGGAGCGTATGAAAGGCTTTAAAGGGAACAAAAAATTATTCGTGGCGTCGGGAACAGCTTTCTGAGAGAAATAGCGGCCAGACAAGACAAGTCCAGGCAAGGCTTGGAATGCCCTTGCACGAGCCTTCAAAGTGCCAGGCCAGGGTTGAGAGTGCTTAGCAAGTGCGAGCAAGGTGTGAAGAGGGCTTGGAAAGTGCTTGCTCGACGCGTCCAAGCCTTGACGGGACTTGCCGAGGTCAGTCTTTGACACTTTTGGTGATGAGTCCACCTAACTGCAAAACCCTAGAGCGCTTCTAAAAAAACTTGACTTATGCTCGTTGACATCGCTTACATTCGCTCCAGTGCGCGCAGGTGTGGAGCGCTGTGCTTCAAAAGGAAATTGACGTCATAAATTGCTCGTGAACTTTTTTGAAAGCGCTCTGGGGTTTTGCAGTTAGGTGTCATGGGCGCATGATGCCGGTCCCTGCGCTCATCATGATGGAATGCTCGCGCAGTGGCCCCGCACGCCCGCGGACCGCACCACCACGGGACGTCTCAACCGCCCCTCCCTCCCCGCCTTCCCCCCACCACCACCGCCACAACAACAACAACCATTCTACCCCGCCCAGCCCTAGCCCGCGCCCGACTTCTACCCCCCTGCAGGCGCCGAGTACTACTGCATCGCGCCCCCGGCCAATACGCAATACGCACCCCAACCGCAGACGCAAGCGCTCGTCCTCGTACGCGCTCCCTCCGGCCCAAATGCCGATACCGAGGCCGCAACCGGGCCAGCCAGTACGCACGCGCAGCTACTCCTTCCAAACCCCTTTGCGCAGCCGCAGCCCATACGCGCAAGCACGTATCCGCATCCCGCGCGCGCCCCGAGGTCGGGGCAGAAAGGGTATGTGTACCACCCAGCGCCCGCACCGGGCTACGCGAGCGCGCCGCAGATGCAGATGCATCCTGCGCTGTTCAACCAGCCGCAGAGGAGTCCCACGAGGGAGGTTTCGCTGCTGTTTGGGTTCGGTGGGGGTGGGGGGAAGAGGAGTACGAGTCGGGATACAAGTACGAGGGAGAGCAGGGATACGAATGGGAGGGAGAGTAGGGGGAACGGGAGCAGGAGGGAGAGCAGGGACGGGAATGGGAAGGGGGGGAGTTTGAGTCGGGGGAGGTCGTATTGAGGTACGCTGTTCATCTTTGTGTTGGAATCGCGCCACCCATCCGCTCCCCGCACCCGCGCCACACCTACATCTACAGTCATCCCATCCACATGCCCGCTCCACATCCCACATCCCATCTTCACATCGTACATAGACACCGTATAATTCCGCCTTACATACCTACCTACCTCCCGAGACGCACGCGTACCTACTCACGTACATCTAGTACCACCACACTCAACCCTCAACAACTGTATCTTGTATCATTCATTGATTCATCTTGGTTTCGAGATTCGTTCTATGGAGCCGTCGTGCGTGAGATGAAGATGAGATTCAACTTGTTGAACTACGATTCAGAACTACGTCGGGTGTGCGTTTCGGCGATAGCAGCCCAGGGAAACAGTTGGACAGGTATCCAACCCCGAGAAGTGGAGGATAACTCGGACGTGGTGCGTGGTGCACGCCCGCTCGCAATGCGCATTCACTTATATATGAAGCGGGAGAGCTGGGTTCGATTCCCGGCGTCTGAACTGTGGTAGGCCTGGATGTTTTTTTTAATCGTCGAGGGGCCACACCACTCAGAGATACCGATACTGTGTCTGTGTACTTATACTTCTCGTAGTCGACATTGGGGCAAGTTTGGTTCGAGACAGTTTCAAATTATTGTTGGTTCGCCGTGTGCGTTTCGTTGATAGCAGCCCAGGGGAAAAGTTGCCCATGTATCCAACCACGAAACGTAGAAGGTAGTTCGGATGTGGTGCATGGTGCACGCTTGCTCGCAGTATGATGATATTTAGGTGATGCGGAAGACCTGGGTTCGATTCCCAGTGTCCGAGTGAATTTGGGGGGACGTTTTTTTCTTCTGTCCACGTCCACCAGTCTTCCTTGAGTGTACATAAATCCTTCTCCCACTCTCGGAGTCGGTTGATTGATCATGATCGACTTGCATTCCTCTCGCTCCTCCAGCGTTTGGAATCTGGAATCTGATGCTGGTGCACGTGGGTAAAATCCGTGCATATTTTTCTAGCGGGAAGGTCTTGTTGGCTTGCTCTAAAACCAGAAACCTGCCTATGTATCCAACCGCGAATGGGAGAAGGTATCTCGGACGTGGTGCATGGTGCACACCTGCTTGCAATGAAAAATCAGTTCTTGACCAATAAGCAGGAGCCCTGGGTTCGATTCCCGGCGTCCAAACTACGCTTCTAACGATGTGTTTTTTGTTCAAAAAAAAAAGGATAAAAAAAAAAGAAACTCAGCAGTTATCCTCGCTCACAGTGTGCCGAGCGGGGATATTTAATCCTGGCTGCCCGAGATGGGAGATGCGGAGACATATTAAAACTTTCCAATTCTCCGAGTCTTCGCGTTGATTTCTAGCTCAAATCTTGCCTATGTACTCAACCACGAAAGCTAGAGAGTAATTCGGACGTGGTGCATGGTGCATGCCCGCTCATGGTAATGATTGTTGTTGCCAGTAATGCAGGAGACCTGGGTTCGATTCCCGGCATCCGAGCTGTGGCGTTTCGACCGCTGGTTTTTTTTTCGACAAAAAAAAATGGAAACAGCAGTCAGTTCAACCTTGTCGATCGTTTCAAAGTGCTCACCATTCACGCTCAAGCAATTATCCCATATCTCGTCACTGGAAGATGCGGAAATATATAAAGTCAGCGCGGTTCGCGATTGACCTCTAGCTCAGTTCAAATCTTGCCTACGTATCCAACCACGAAGGCTAGAAGGCATCTTGGACGTGGTGTATGGTGCACGCCCGCTCTCAATTACGAATGAAGATACAGTAGTACCTAGTGGGCGGGAAACTTGGCTTCGACTTTCATCGTCCGAACTAACCTTTGAGGCTGTGATTTTTCCTTATCTTTTTTCAAAACAAGGGAAGGAATCGGCTCAACCTGGTCCATCCTTTCCAAGTACATAATCTCATATGCCATCTGCACTGCTACGGAGATGTATTTGTCCAAATGATCAAGCTGCGAGTCAGCGCTGTGCGCGAGCTCGAATGTTGCCTGTGTATTCAACCAGCTAAGACCAAGGATAAATCGGATGTAATGCATGGTGCACGCCCGCTCCCAATACATGTGGATATGTGCCTAATAAAGCGGCAGGCCCGGATTCGATTCCCGGCGTCCGAATTCCGTCGTGGGATATAAATGTATTTTTGTCAAAAGGAAGAGGAAAGAAAGTCAGCAGGTACCCTCGCTCAGAATGTGCCGAGCGGTTATCTCATAAGCGGGGATTTTTAATCCTGGCTGCTAGAGATGGTAGGTGCGGAGACATATTGAATTTGTCAATTCTCCGAGTCTTCGCGTTGATTTCCAGCTCAAATCTTGCCTACGTATCCAACCACGAAAGCTAGAGGATATCTCGGATGTAGTGCATGGTGCACGCCTGCTCGCAGTAGAAGATTTCGCTGGTCATGTGGGAAGCCTGGGATCGATTCCCGGCGTCCGAACTATGGTTGCGAGAAGGCTTTTTTCCTGTCGCGGGGCCACACCACTCAGAGATACTGGTACTGTGCGTATACTTAGCAGCACTAGGAAGTTTGTTTCGGTTCAAATTATCGTTGACTCGTTATGTTTCCTCGCATGCGGAAATTTTGCCTCCGTATTCAGCCACCTAAGATAAAGGATAGCTCGGAGGTGGTGCATGGTGCACGCCTGCTCGCAGTAGAAAATTTCGCTCGTCATGTGGGAAGCCTGGGGTTCGACTCCCAGCGTCCGAATTAGTGTGAAGGGAGCTTTTTTTTCGGAGAAAGAACAAGCAATCAGTCACTACATTTTGATGGCCGAGGGGCCATCAAAATGTAGTGAGTGCAACCATGGATCTTTTCACTTGTTCCCGCGAATCTCCCTAGGTATTCATTCACACGAGCAGATATTTCATATTTCTTCGCTGAGATGTGCGCAGCTACGGAGTGCATTAAATTTGTACAGGGAAATCTGAGAGTCAGCGTTGCAATTGATCTCCGCTCAAATCCTGCAGGTATCCAACCACGAAACATAGAAGGAATGGACCACGTCAAGCTAATATATTATCCTGAGTCTTATCTTCGAACGTAGTGCATGGTGTATGCCCGCTCGCAATGAGGCACAGATTACCAGTGATGCGAGAGATCTAGGTTCGATTCCCGGCATCCGAATACGGTTGTGGGAACTACGTTTTTTATGAATAAAATAAAAGAAAATCAGAAAACTAGCAATCAGCTCGACTCGTCCATCGTTTAAAAGTACTTGAGCTCACCATCCATGCCCAGTTGATGGGCGAGGTTGAGTTCTTTCTCGCTAGGAGCATGGTACTGCGAAGATAGCCTCAAGTCTCGCCCGTAATTCAACCACGAAGGCAGGGAACTCGGACGTGGTGCACGGTGCACGCCCGCTTGTCATAAAGGAAGTGTGTTTTTAATAATTAAGCAGGAGACCTGGGTCCGACCCCCAGCATCCGAATTAGGCCTTGCATAGAACGATATTTTTTGAAAAGAAACCCAGCAATCAGTTCAACCTTGTCGATCCATTCAAAGTACGTGTTCTTGGCTTTTTCTTCTTCTCAATATCCTCTCCAAATTCTCACTATTCACGCTCCCGAATATTTCAAACTTCCAGTCTGCTGGCAGGTGCGCACTGCGAGGAGCTCTGAGAGTCTGCGCCGTTCGCAAAGTTGAACATTGATCTGCGTTCAAATCTTATCCCTCGACGCGCAATCTGCACGCTGGATGCACGGAGTCTCGGGAGAGCGTGTCTAAGATCCCATTTGGTTTTTTTGGGCCGGAGATCGAATACGCGAGACAGTTAAACCTCCTCGCCTGGGAGGGAATGTGGTAGTCTGCTCGGAAAAGTCTTCCTCCACGAATCAACTCTATGAAAAAGCAGGGCCTTCCTACTCGTGTATCCTCCGCGAAGATTCGTTACCTCGTTTGCCTTCCGCTCTCTGGCGCACGGAACCCGATGCCCGCCACATGGGCCCACGTTCTCGGATGAGAAAGATAGGGGACCATATTGAACCCGCATCGAATGTCCCTAATCAAATGCTCAATCACATTTAAACTTAAGCTTGAGTCAGCAGGGGAAAGTCCTGTTAGTAATATCATATATATGACTGCGGTATATATGGAAGATGTGAAGAATACCACAAATCAACCAAGCTCGAATCGAACAAGTATATTTCCTCGGGAGGACTACAAATCAGATATAGCAGATGCGGACCATCCGGTACTACCGAGTCGTTCCTGGGATAAGTTGATCCGGGCGATGCATGCAGGATGTGGTCGTCCCCTTCAGTCAAGCTAGCTTTGCTACTAAATCTGCAAGTCAACTTAAATGAGGCCACGCATTAGATATGTGACGCACGCACCTCAGGAGGCGAGGGGTTCTGCTCGTGCAAAATTCCACAGCAACAAGTTCTGCGAGCATAACTCGCGTATCCGCGCGATTACGCCGGGCTCGAGGTTGCGACGACACCCTCGCAGCCTAGACACATCAACCTCAAAGCCTGAGACCGATTCGTCCTGCCGATGTGACACACGCGAGAGGAGGAAGCTGAGGAAGACGTTGTCGTCAAATTGTAGCCGTGACCGGCGAAAGACGAGGTGCCGGAGATGAGGAAGGAGGGGCTGGAGATCTGGTTGCCTTGTGAGACTCGAGAGAAGGGAATTCTTGATGATAGGTTCCACGCCGTCCCGATGGTCATCCGAAATTTCCAGCCGCTGCACCAAAGGCAGAGCGGATAAACATTCAGCGAGCTCAGCCGCCCCGATGGAGAAATCGGATATGTTGAGAGATCGAAGATGGGTATGGAACGAGGAGCGCGAAGCAACGGCGAGGAAATCGGCATGTGGCCAGGGTAAAGGGGAGAAGTAATCCGAGCGGAATGTCAAATTCTCGAGACAGGGCAACGTTAGGTTGGTGAGAATGTCGGTGACATCCGGGGCGCAGCTGGGCTGAGGGAACTCGATCGAAAGAGTTCCGACGTTGGACAACGTCGGGGTTAGATACGGAATACGACGCTGGGAACCGCTCCAGACAAGTTGAAGTGCAAGGCGACATGTCGTCCCAGGGGATAAACCCGCCATTGACGATAGGGCTGAAGTCACTTTGGGTAACGTGACGCCGACGTATTCCAAAGTCTGCAGTTGCTGGAGATGAGGTCTGGCTAATCTAAGCAGTGACTCAGAAACGACCAGGCGCTTCAACTTCGGCGCTACATGGAATAGATCCCTCGTGGGTGGTGCCGCCATCTGAATTTCGTGCAGCTCGAGGCTCTCCAACAAGGGGAATCTTCCTTTGGATAAACGTTCTAGGCCTAGAAAGCTGCCCGTGAAGGAAGCAGTGTTCCACCGCACCGAGTGCTTCACGAGCAAGTCGACTGCTTTGGTGGAAGCAGTACCTCGAGGTGGCAACACCACTCGGAGGGCCGACCCAGCACCCCGCTCTATCACAGTCTTGAGCAGGGCCGTCATCTTTTCAGGATGGAGATCCTCCCAGACACCTTGGGGAAAATCGATCGTGCTCCAGAGCGAGGCGGTACCCATCACGATGTTGTGCCACCTGGCACACACCTGGGACACTGCAAAGAGAGGGGCATGGGCGTAACGATGCTTTTCCCTATCCGCCCATAGAGCAACGGTGGGAGGGAAAGGTTTCGAACATATCTGGAATATCGCTAGAAGAATCTCGACAGGGAGGCGTCTGACTAGTGACCGCAGGCTCAGCCCTTGACAATCATCGTAATATGCTTGCAGAGCCGCACGCTCAGCAAGCAGAGCGGCGTGCTCGGACTCCACCGCGCTGAGAACGGCTCGAAGTCGGGCGATTTCTTTATCGTACCGCGCACGCTCGTTGTCGTATCGAGTGAGCTCGGCAGACAGCTCGGAAATGGTGGATTGGAGGTGCTCTGGGGGCTCGGCGTGCGCACGCAGAAGATCGCGAATGTGGGTTGCTTTGTTTGAAGGGAGAAGAATCGTCGGAGTGAAGCTTTTGAACCCACAGGTAGGGCAGGAATTGACCATGCTGGGAAACGAGGGTGAGAGCAAGATGGTGACCCCAGAGGCTCAAAGGGAAGGTCGCGTGACTATGGAAATCAGTAAAGCGATGCATCAACGCATCAGCAAACAATCGGCGTGCGGCCCGCAATTCCGCCTCTTGCTTTGGATCCACCATCTTGTCGCCATTTTTCAGCTCTTTTTCGTCCTCAAACATTGCTACATCAGAACTCCAGTCTCAAACTCTTAAATCTCCACCACCCACACGCTCCCGTCGCGTCCTCACACGCGTGACCGTCCCTACGCCACTGGCGTCTAGGTATGGTACAGGTCTTGATAAGTAAGGCTCACTCGCCTACTTTGATGGATTTTGGCAGCGCACTTGGGCAACCTATGGTTAGCAATAACTTTCACAGTGGAAGAGGAGAGATTTGTTGAGAATTGAACAATTGATGGACATTTTACCGAAATTGAGTGAAATTGACCTCTGTGGTAAGGGAGGAACCGGATTTGCTTCAGAACCTGCTCAGAAAAATTTGTAATGCCTGCATGTATTATTCGATATATACTGGTATGCTCAAAATTCACGCCGAAAATATTCATGGACAGATCAAGTTTGATCAGGCGTAAAAACCCCATCGTTTTGTCAAATCTGCATGAATCTCATTGCTTCAGCAGGTAAGGTCGAGGAGAAATAACTCCCCCACATAAGTATTTGCCGGATTTTTTATTTTCTCCCTCGTTGTAAACACCGGACCGGAATCTTCAGAATGTTCAGCCAATCCTCCAAATGTGAGTCAGAAATAATGATTCCGGCGAGGTATAATAATGTCGATGGTAATTCCATTTCTCCACAATTCTTCCCGCAGAAGCTAGCAAATATAGCGACGTTTGACGAAACAATGGATGTTTGCCATCGCCAGTTGGGCGTTGTGACGAGGGTGACATGTGTGACAAGCTCGTCGTGCTGTTTGATTCTGAGCTCAAACTCGGTTGTGCGGTCTTGATTTTGACATTTGAATAATGCAATAAAGTGTCCTGGAGAGTTTTTAGAATATTCCAGGTACTTTGGATTTTGACTGTTTCATAGGGTAATCGAAAAATGTGGAATAGCAAAGGAATTTTGACGGAAATCACCAAGTTTATGGCGGGGCCTGATATGAAACAAACAAACATTTTCTCCCTTTCCGTCGAGTCCATAAAATGTGCGAGGAGCCGGAATACGAGAGAAAAGTGGCGTCTGAGATTTGAAAGAGAACAAACAAAGACAAAGCTGCCGCCCCGATCAAGGGCGGTGCCCATCCCCACAATTCACAAAAAAAAAAAAAAAAAAAGTGGAACAGATTATCCAGTTGCCGGCCCACTAATATCTTGACGGGGTCCCGCTTCGCGGGGCCGCGCACACTAGGCCCTAACCCTAAGCCCTGAGCCAAGCCAAGGCCGATCAGAGTGGCTCTGACGTGGTATCTGCCTTCCGTCTGTCTGAAGTTGGATCCTATGACAAGGCTTCGGATCAACGGTTCAACGTTAGACAGACGCCTCAACCGCAGCCTCCTAGCCAGGCGCAGTTACGGGGTTGGGAAGACAGAGGTGGTACTGCAAAGAGAATTCTGTGGTTGGGCCTTGAGAGTTCGGAAGTTTTAGCTGTCAGTTTCCCTTTCACATCTTGTAGATATATCAAAATCTGCATTGACTAAGAAACAGCAAAGAAAATGAATGAACCAGCCAGGGAGATTAGACGTGGTTTAGGCCTTTGCTCCCTGTCCAAGATCCGGGACAGGGCTTTTCTTTACGCGGACCTAAATCACAATGAACATCTGCGAGTCCAAATTCAATATACACCACTGACCTGCCACGCAATCATAATCTTCTCCTCACCAGGGTCACCGTCACCACGCTCATGCTGGAGGAGCGTTTAGGTTCTCAAGGTCGAGGTTGAGACATAATTGACTGGAGCCAGTTTGAATCGCTGCCGGGTCAGATTGGTTCGCTCTATGACTGTGTCGGGTACATTGTGCGTGGCTGAGCCTGGTAGGTAAAGTCAAGATTGAAGAGTACATATATACAAGGACACATACGCTACTCTTCACCTGTTCCCGGAATGGCTGCTTTGCACAATGTCGAACCACAAGTTATTACTCGATTTTTGCCTTGCAAGGTAACGTGCACGTTGTTTCGTCGAGTAACACCACACACACTACATTGCTCCCAGGACTTACAAAGATTATCAGAAATATATGGAGTAAAGATAATGTTGACGGGATGTCCGAGTTGCCCGATGCCCGAGGTGCACAACCTCTGGGCTATGTTCAACACCTCCGCTCAATCGAATACTGTATATCAAAATTCTCGAGGAGCAGGTCGTGCTCTTTTGCCTATTCAGATAGTTAAATAAATGAAAGTTGGTTGAATGTATATTGAAGGTAAGACATACAACAAAGCGAGGTACGAGTTCAGATATTGTTGCAG